CTATAAAAAAGTAGAAATAGCATGGTATATCCAGCAATACCATGTGAATCAAACTAGCTGGTTTAATAGCAAAATCTATAATAATACTTACACAACTCTTTCCAGGTTAAAAGTGTATTAGAAACATTACCTAAGAAGTCCTCACACCTCCCTGTGAGGTAAGTAAGTATTATTACCCCCATTTTACAGATGAGGTAACTGAGGCAGAGAGGTTAATAACCTGCCCTCTCTCTCTCTCGGTTTTCCTAGGAACAGGAGGGCTGTAGTGCATGATGATTATTTATTATAAGGCTACTTAATTACTAATCATTACTGGCACAGTCACAGGTTGGTAGGAAATCATACACGTTTATGGAGCCAATTCCTATTGAATTCTTCAACTGAACTAGTTCAGATCCCGTCTAAGAGTGTGGAGCTGAGGAAAAAAGCGCTGTAGCCTCTCTACTTCTTTCCTCCTTGGCAGCTCAGTGCCCTCCTAACGAAGAGTGCGCTGAGGTAACGCACACCTAGAGCCCACACTCATGTTTGCAACGAGACAAAACCTAGATATGGTAATTTATGCTAATGACTAAAGGAACGGAAAAGCACATGAAACGTGTCCAGAAGTTTCGTGGCAGGTCCAAAAGCCCACTGTAAACTCAATACCGTAAATATGCTTTCTACTTATATCAAAGCTTTTAATATTATTATTATTTCCAACAATGTGTTTTGCTTAACAAGGAGGATCTCCCCCCTCACTGCATGTGCCTCCTACGGCATTTAACTGGGATTGCACCCGGATGCACCAGCTGAGAAAACAGACGCTGCAAGTGGTACCACTCCACGCCAGCCCTTGGACATGTCATCTTTCCGGCTAGAAGACAAGTTCTGTTCTCTCTTGACCTTATTAATTTCAGAGAGGCCCAGCATTATTCATTTGAATTCATCTCAAAAGACAGGATGGATTTCAAAGGCCAAGAGCATTTAGATATGATGAGTTTCTTTTAAACTAACAGCTGATTTCCAGAAGATCTTCAGATTGTAAAAGGAAATTCAATTGTATTTCTGAAAAGAATGAAGGACCAGAGAACTAAATTGCATTTCTCCCCTAAACTGGATTAAGGGGAAGTATTTTATTATGGGAACGTGCTCTCTCTTTCTCACATATGTGCAATCCTTGCTAAGAGCACTGAGACTGGCCAGCGGGCGAAGTGGCTCTCCTGGAAACCCACGAAAGTGACTCAAAGGTGGGTGAAAACACCCAGATGCCTGAATAATGAAGAAATTTGCCTAGGAGCCAGTTAAATCCCATTTAATCCCTGAAAACAGCTCGGAAGTTTTACGTGGCAGACCCGTGCCTCCTCCAGCAGCCACAGGGCTGCTCTCGAGCCCCTCGGGACTCGAGCACAAGTGGGATGGAAACTCAGCTCCCAAAACTGCCACCCCAGCCTCAGTGCACTATAATTCTCGATCTGGGTTTTAGAAATCTTTGCGATAACGTGGGTGGTCAGATGATGGTTGCTATTGAACACAAAAGAGAAGCAGTTCTAATGCCTCTCCCTCTGTTGATACGTGCTCTCTAGAAAATCAAATCTTGCAAAAAATATTACAAAAATTTGTATTTAAAAAGATATGAAAATGCTTGCTGGATACTTAAAGTTTTACTTGCCATTGTAAGTTGCTGGATGATAAGCAAGCCACCTGGAGTTCTCATTAAAGGGCTGGTCCAAGTGTGAGGGTTCACGTGCGAGTGCATTAGGCAGAGCAGCAAGGAGGAACACAAATATTCAATCCCTGCTTTATACAACCCTGTCTTGTTCCTGCAGGATCCAGGAGTTCACAGTACCTTTTCGTAAGCGTTACAGACACCTACAGAAGACGACACGAGATGTGGCAAGCCCGGGGACTTGAGGTAATGACGTTAAAGAGGAATTTCTGCTTCTACATCAGAAAAACTGGGGAGAAAACGCAAGTGCCTAAGAAACTGGTTATGAGAAGCAGGCAGAAAATGAGCATCTCCATTCAGATGTTGGACCAGCTCTTTAATGCCATGTTCTGGTGTGAACAGCGCTGACCACCACAGCCGTGCCAGCCACAACCGCCCGCAATGGGACCTCCCTGTACAATTCCTACTTCGTCAGGAAAACCGGAACTGCTTGGGAACGTCTGCCCGTGCGATCTCCTGCCTGTTTCTGGCTTGGGTCAGTTCTGCCCCCGTACGGCTTTTCTTACTTCCAGAACCTGTGCGCTGGTATTTCTCCCTGTATTTTCCTTTTTCACAAGTCTCTTTTTCACTTCACATTCTTAAAACACGTGTAATGCCGCCTCTCGGCAGACTGACTTGCTTGAGAGCCCCTCCTTTATACAAAACCTAAGCCTCAGTAATCTATTGAATCTATTCTCTTCTACAGCATGATACTCAGATTTTCCTAAACTACAGCAGGCTAATAATATTCAGAAAAACATAAATAGTCATGAATGCTGCACTAGTCCACATGCTTTATGGTATTCACCATAAAGCTTAAAGTACATAACATACAAAGAAGAAAATGAACTCCCAGACTTGGCCGATAACATATTTGACACACAACGGTTTAAAAATTTTAGTCCTACAATGTTTTTAAAATTTTGAGTTCTGTTTATTTAGGCAACAACCCGAGTTCTTGTTAGTTGGCCAATGCCCCTCGT